ATCGAGAAATAATAAACTAGTTTTAATCAAGAAGGGATTTGTATCGCTGAAGTTTCTTGGAAAGAATTTTTACTGGAAATTATCAAACGAGCAGATACGTAGCAATATATTTGTAAATAAAAGTTCCATATGGTTTTTGTTATTAATGTTGTAATATATAATACTTAATTTTATAGAGAAGGAAAAGAAAAATTCTTACGTATATAAATATTAGTATAAAAACTTTCTAATGGCTTTGAGAGCCTTAGTTAAATATTTTGAATTATTTTATAATAAATATAAAGTATTTACATAAATTTTAAAACATTGATATAAAAAATTAAACACAATTAAAAAAAAATTTATAAAATTTATTGCTTGGAAAATAACTTGGACATTTTTATATCATATGCAGGTGGACTAATGTATCGTATCACCTTCCCCGTATAATGAAGATCCATATTGTAGCATGGAAGGGTGGAGGATGGGAGCTGTACAATAAATTTAGTTGGGCTTAGTATAGTAGTTCCTTTACATTTTGGTAATTATGTCCAAACATCATATTGGGGAGCTGTAATCCAAACTTCAAGGATAGTTTGATGTCTTCCCCTTTGTTGTATTGCATACCAATTGTTGTCTTTATTACTATTTTTAATTTTAATTATTTATTTTTTGTGAGCAATGACCTTCTCGCTTCTGGCTGGCGACAGCAAAAGATAGTGAAGTTGTGGGCTTGAGCACCCATATCTGCCTCTTTTACTTTCTACTTCTAAGCATGAGGCTGGCAAAGGTGAGGTTAAACTGGATAGATGGTGTACTTGTGCCGATACCTCAAAAAAACCATGTCATGTTACATGAGTATGGACCCGAAAAAAACAAGACCAATTTTCTGTTGATACGTGTAGTATGTTCCACCATCAATAAAACCTTTCCTTATGCTTATAAATCATTGTTTGTCTACGTATTATTATATTTGCGTAATGTTCTTCCTTATTCAAGTACTTATTTACTTTTTTAAATTTATTTTCTGTAAAATTAAAATATTTCATCTAAGGTTTGGATATACTAGTTAAAATCCACACTGTCCTTCCTTTTGATGTAATCTGTTTTATATAATTTATAGTAGCTTACTTTAATTGATTTCTACAATAGGTAATCATGATATAGTGGATTTTTTACCTTGAAAATGGATGAAAGGAAGTTTGATAAAGAACTAACTGAAGCATGGGAGTCTTTTCTCAGTTCACCATCATCAAATGAAGAGGTAAGAAAGTTTTACGTACGTGTTTGTAGCTAGTAACAAAATTGCTGAGAGTCCCTTTTTGTTCTGTGATGTTCAACTTTGTTGCATTTTACAGAATAATAATATTCAATGACTTTTGTAAGTATTTAAACATAATTTGACACCAATACAAATTTAGCTGTTGAAATTTTATGGAATGATCATTAAGTGAATACGTGTTCTATATTTTTGATATTTTGATATTATTAATTGACTGTTTAGATAGTGGTGAGTTTATAATTGAATTAATATGAAGTGTATGAAGCCCAGAATTACTAGCAGGAAGCAGATATTATACAGTAGAGCAGATATTTGATTTGTCCGAGGTTTGGTAACACGGATCAGTTGATGGTTTTTGAGTTTTAGGTCATACATTTCTGAGAGTGCATGTAATGTCTAACTTATCACTATATCTTGTGGAAAGTGGAAGCTTACTGAAGCATATGTTGTATCTTTAAGTGTTATGTTTCATGACTGGCACCGGTGTAATGTGTTGTGGAACAATCTATCCAATCTTTGGATATTGGCAGTTTTATATCTGTTGAAAATCTTGTTTATTTCAGACAAACCTGATATGGTGTTTATTCTAATAAAGTGTATTATTTTCTCAGAATTACATATCGGTAATTGGTTAAGTTAGATTAAACTAATAATTTTTAACTCCTACATTTTGAGCAATGTTTACCATCAGTTCATGGATTTAAGATTCCATAATGGCTATTTTTCAGTCAACACTCGGTTATTTTTCCATATGCCACATTTAACTATTGACTTTCAGAAGTCTGTATGTAATTTGTGCTTATCTTCTGATATTTCATAAGCTGTTACATGAATACCCTTTATTCCTTTCATCCAGATTGATTGGACCAGCTCTAGAACAGGAGTGTGTCAATCACTGTAGTCTTTCAAGATTATTCTGTGTGTTTCTTGGATTATTGAAACAATTGTAGCTTTACAAAGCCACAAATGTGTGTAGAATATTTTAGGATTAACCTCGTTGACCTCAAGCACTTTTATTCAGTCGAAGAGTAATGTCCAAGTAGTGAACTTGTACAATTTTCCTACAAGTTTCTGAAATATATATAAACTTCACACACTCCTAAATGTAAACTGTTTCTTTACTTTCTCTATTCTCTAAGTGTGGTTAATTTTCATAATCTGTAGACGGATATTTTCGAAACATAATAATTTCTTACCATTTTGTAAGTCTGTCATTCCTCTACAGTGGTTAGTTCCTGCTTTTTTGTTAAATATACCATATGTTGTATTGAGCTCAGGTCATCCCTAATTTAATTCTAGATTCAAAATGAAAGTAAAGTATTTGTGTTCACCTGGATGGCAGTTGTTTCTTTGTTGGCAGAAAGGTGATGCTGAGACCGCTCAGTTTAATGCACTTGTGGGATTGGCAAACGGGTGACACCGAGATCACCTATTGTAATGCACTTGTGGGATTGGCAAACGGGTGACACCGAGATCACCTATTGTAATGCACTTGTGGGATTGGCAAATGGGTGACACCGAGATCACCTATTGTAATGCACTTGTGGGATTGGAAAACGGGTGACACCGAGATCACCTATTGTAATGCACTTGTGGGATTGGCAAACGGGTGACACCGAGATCACCTATTGTAATGCACTTGTGGGATTGGCAAACAGGCAATGCTGAGATTGCCTAGTTATTGTGTAAAAGCTTGATAGGGTTTAAGATAATGCTAAATTTTGTTAGGAGATTAAAATACAGGCTATAGTTAAGATGCATGTCATAATGAGCACATGTTACAGACTATTCAGGTATAGTACTTAACTTGGAAAACTTATTATTTAGTAGAACTCATTGCACAGTAAATGAATTAATACTAATTTTTATAAGTCTGCCTCGGACCTGTCTTAATTTTGTGTAAGTACTTTAGACCCACAAATTTCTGTTTACGTAAAGAAAAAAAATTATGAACTACAGGTTGTGCCAAGTTTATAAAATGGTAAGTATTTAAAAATTGTTTCAAGGAAAAATATATGACCTGATGTTTTTTCAAACGTGGTAGCTGATGTTTAGAAATGGTTCTTATTGCTTAGTTTAGTTCTAGTTGTAAGTTCTGTTTTTTTATCTGAGATACTATCATACCAAGGACAACATTTATATGTACAAAAATCATTTTCTGTAGACCAAATCAACACATTTGATATAATTGTAGATGAACTGACAAACTTTGAGATGAACATTTAATTAATCATGTGTACAAAGGCAGTATTCTGAGATACTGATGGTATCACTTTTCAGGAGAGGAGCGAGTTTCTTGACGTCTTCTTAACCAAGTTTATATGGATTGAAGAAAATGGTGGAAGACATGAGGATGCACATATGTGGTAAGCAACTAGTTGACAATGTTGAAGGATGTAAAATACATACTGGGAATTTGTAAGTTATAAAGATATTTCACACATACACGTATCTCCACTGTATGCTGCCAAATTAAGATTTTGTTAGATAAACTTCTATTTAAGCCATATTAATTGCTTAGGTAAAGTGAATTGCTATAAGCATTAGTTCAAGAAACATAGAATACTCTAGAAAATTTGATCTAGTAATGACAAATGTAGAGGAAGCTACAGTATTTTAATGGCTAAAATGTTGAACGAGCAAAGTTAGAATATTTTTTAGCTCTCTCTTGGTCATAAAGAAGTGTCACTGAAATCTATCTTGTGTGTATTTAGTGAAATTTTTGTTTATGGACTCTTGAGTACTTATTACGTTATGTGTTTCAGGCTGCAAACTGTAGTAGGAATTCATAGAATTTTTAATTACTTCTGTCATCTTAAGATGTAGGTTTATAGCAAATAAGTCTTAAGTTGTTTTTTTCTTCTCTCTTTCTCTTAGTACTTAATTGTAGTTTATTAAACTTTTTTATCGATGTTTTCTTAAAATGGTTTTCAGAACTTTGTAACTTTCTTGTTCATAATAGAAACCTTTTAAAAACATTAAATAAGCTGTTGTTACAATACTCAAGTTGATTTGTTAATCTTAGTATTGTAGTAATCAACTCATTTTTCTGAAAACGAAACTTAATGATAAAGCAAAACACGAACATGATAATAGGAAGCGTATATTAAATGTTTTGGAATCATCGGTAATCTACAGGTACAACACAAACAAACAATATTTGTAATTGGACGTTCTTTTGAACCACAATGCTAACGGCTCTTCAATTTCTGTATCACAAAAACACACTCAGTTTGACGATTTTTATACCCTTCTCTTTCAAACTCAGTCTTATTCTCTGTTTACTAAATAGAGCATACAAACTTACCTTATCCTATCTAGCCCTTCACAAAGAATTTACTTCCATATAAAGCATTTTCTTTTGAAATGGCTACTCTATGCATTTCTTGGAGAAAATAACTTCCTCATTCTTAACTAATGTGTTTGTCAAACCACCTTAGATACCCACTGTACCTAAACTTCCCTTATACACTTGCTTACCATATCTTGGGAGACGGAGCGCCCCTTATCTCAAAACATTTGAAAAAATTATGTAACTCTTACTATCCCCAAATTGACCTGAAAGTTATTATGAAACCCAATTTCAGACTAAAAAGTTTTTTTCTGCTACAAAGATCGATTGCCCATTGTTCACATCTCAGCTACTTGTACACGTGTGGAGACTGTAAGGCCTACTATA